TGCCATAATGTTGTGAACACTGTCTATATTTGCCCGAATTTTGTTGACTTTGTCTCCAAAGAATTGGCTGAAGTTGTTAGCAAGGGAGGATGCCGAGTCGGATATTGAAGGTATTTGCTTTGGGGCTGTTGTTAGTTCATTGACGACTTTGAAGGCGTCCTTGAAATTTAGATATGGCTGTAAGCAGTGCGTCACACATTGACCTTTTTGTAGCATTGTAAGCGGTACGGTCTGCTGGAGGTTTTTACGCCATTTACGCGCCGCACGTCGACGTTGTTGTCTTGGATCGATCCATTACACCACTTCGACTTACACATCTGACTTTCTTTGTAACAGTCCAAGGGGCATGCATGTCAAGGACATCTGCGACAGCATTATTAATGTCAATGATGAATTTGTCAATGTTACATCCACCATAAATGAATATTCGAAAGTTTAGTGGACAGGTCATCGGCGAGGATATCATGATCCGTGTAGCGGTAGTTTCGATATGTCGGCGTCATAATTGAGGGTTCTGGCTTATCGAGTCGCAATGAGGCGGAAACAACACCATGATCAGATAGGTCATTCATGTGGACATTGTGATGTGTGAGATAAGCAGTCCGTCCTCATCACACCTTGTGATAAGCCAGTCTAGCGTGTGACCTTGTACATGAGTTGGTTTCAACACATGTTGAGTAAGTCCGAATGCATGTATAGAAGATCGGACATGGGCTACCTGTTTCTTTTTTGGACAGTCAAAATGGATATTGAAGTCGCCAAGAATGAGTAGTAGGCCTACGGGTGTGTAGCATCGCGCAACTAGGCTACACGCATCGGGCCGTGCCGTGGTGGGAGCTGTCCCGGCCCACCACGGTGAATAGCGATAGCTGGACGGGGCCAGCGCCGGTACGTACCGACCGCACTGCCGCTCAGACCGCAGTGTGATGAGCGCAATGATAGAATCGCCGCACTATGTACCGTTGGCTCAGCGTAGAGACGGGGAGGACCGAGGCTAGTTAGCAGGACAAGGGTGGTGAGGGACACGGGGGTGTCTCACCCGGCAATCGGTTCGGACGTAGCGGTGACGGGCCGCTACGACTCTCACTAGCACCCTGGGCTAATTCGTACCGCTCTCGCATCGGTCCAAGCTAAGCTAGCTGGCCATTCATATGGCTACATGTCTTCGCCAAAAGAATGCTACTATCGCACTTCTCTCGGAAAGGGGCCCAACCTCCGCAGTATGTTAGGTTTTGCTCTCGCAATAAGGGTTTGGTCCGCCGCATCTGACCGACAACCTAGGGGAATTCTGCTCTATTCATAGGATTCTAGAGGCTTAGGAATTAATAAAATATGAGCGTCGCTGAACAGCTCAACCGATGAGAATCTTTCATCTCAAAGGGTCACATGACTTCCTGCTGGAGTCGTGTGCAAGAATCTAAGGCTGCATCCGAATCTCTTTTCTAGAGCTAGGTCTAGGTCTTCACTCCATTAGAAATGCGTGGAGACGCACAGACAATAGACCTAGCCGTAGCTCTGGAAGCCCGTTTCGGACAAGGCCTTCAGTGTCGTTTGTAAAAAGGCAGAATACAGAATAAGAAGTCACGTGTAAAGTGTAGCGGCCAGCCATCTGTGGTGAATGACTTGACTGTTACAAAGTCTGAGATGTCTGAATATTAGCATTTCAGGGAACCTTACCACGCCCAAACCACGCAGCCACTTGGAGGGGAATTTCCGACAAGCCAAACTGAGCAGAGAAAACACAAGGATAAAGGAGTGAAGGAACACACGATCACGCCGGAGTACAGCATGAATAACTTAATACAACATTAGCGTCTCTGTTGCATTTCCATAATGCGTAGCTAGCTGAGCAAGATAAGATAAGAGACCCTGAGAAATGCAAGGACCGAGAACGAGTAAACCTATGGGGGCGCTAGAATTCCAAGATTTGCGGGTGCGCAACACTATCATATAATCTTGAGAAGTATGACGAGAAGGAAACTTTGGACACGCAATTTCAATTAAAGAATAAAAAAGATACGCCACTTTCCGAAAGAGTAAAAGTCTAATTCATGTGGAATCCCCCCAAATTTCCACGGTAATGCAAAGTAATTCTGGCTCCAGATTTCTGATGAAAGAGCGTGATCAAGTGCACAGAAATACAGATTAACCTTTGTGCACAGGATAGAACGAATTTAGTTAAATTTGGATCCGCGAGTGTTCGTAAGTAATTATCACTTTTCCCTTCCCCTGCATGACAATTACGAAATGTTACATACATGTGCGCAATGTGTAAGCACCGCTCGTATTTAACCGAGTTGGGGTTTTCTTCAAATTCAGTGGACAAATGCCCGAAATTTGAGTACCAGATAGGCCACCATCAAGTTCTAAGAAGATATGGCAGAACGTCGCTTCCGCGCGTATCAAATCGTTTTTTTTTTCTCTCTCTCTCAAGAATTTGCTCTGCCTCTGTCACCTGGTTGGATGGTAACTGCACTCTCCGAATGGGGTATAAACACGGAGTGTGTTAGGCACCTTTCGTATGAATGAGTTTTCCTCAAAACTTGGCCGACAATTACCCACCGTCACTTCCCAGAAGATAAGGCAGAACTTCTCTTATGCAGCTGTCATTTTCTCCGTTCTTCAAATTAACTGCAAAATTCATTTCTCAGCGTAGTAATACCCGGATTCCATTACAGGCTGTCCGTCCGCACAAGTTGCATAAACAAATCCCGCTCTAACTATTCTCGGCACCTGTTGTATATCCGCCTTTCCCCGTACAGCCATACAATATTAATACACACATACACATCCCTCTCAAGGCAAATCAAGATCGCTTTAAATTCTCTGAGAGGTAGCGCTAGTATACTGTTTGAAAGTGATGGTGGAATAAGGTTATGTGTTTTAACGATTTTGAAAATTAGCGCTTGGCCCGGAGGGTGACATGTGAAACTGAATCGAACAAAATGGATTAATTCCGTGTCGGTTTATTGGAAACAAAATCATGTTCTTTTTAAAGAGCGCACATCCCCTTACGCAACCCCCCGCCCATTTTCCACAGCTGACGGGGTTTAAAATCACAGACCCGCTTCAAACGTCGAACTTCTACCGTGTCTAATTCGGTTAATTCCAATCGACACAGAAGCGACAACAGTTCGGCATTTGCTTCAAACGTAGGTTTTCTGTCGAATGTAATGTGGTTTTTCAACACGACTCGGACCGAGAAAGGAGACGCGGTGTATATCTTTTTTTCCTGTAATCGAATTTATTGCTGGTGACATTAATTAAAAAGAGAGTTTTGATTATCTGTTCGACACTCCTGCAGCTATTTCTTTTCTCCACTGATCTTGTCGGATCGACATTTGGTCAAAGATGCAAGTTGGCTAGAAGTATGACTCCGAATACGAATTTAGATAAACTATTCAAAAACCAGCCTTGGAAATGTTCCTCTTTCACATTTGCCACGATTCAGAGTAAAATACAAATTGTAAAATTGTAAATTTCCATAGGCATAGGTCCTGCAGGATCCTGGTGTGTTCATGAAGACTCTCTTATTGTGGAGATTATCATTATCCAGTTGCTGAAAAATAACCAATACTGTTGGAGAAGTTTGAAAAAAAGTTTGTGAATCCGTCATCAGAAACAGGTGCACTGGGGTATGCCAGTCACTAGCAGGGAGGGGGTCAAAAACTGAAGAGGAATTATACATTGGTTTTAATTCCGAAACGAAAACGATTGCAGCAGGCGCATGCGCAATTTTTAAATGGTACCCCTTCAATTCCGACGTGGGGCAAGTCAATTGAAACAGGCACCGGCACGGCAGAGATCCAGTGTTTGAAGCCGTAACGCTCTTCTGCCGTTGAAAGCCGCAAAACCTGCCAAACTTCTGGCAGAAAGTCGGCAGTTGCTTCAAACGTCGATTTTCTGCCGTGTCTTATTCAAGTTGCACCATTATTTTAGTTATACACTGCAGAAATTCGACCTTTGAATTCGGCTTCGAAAGTAATTATTGTAATCCAAACAATCCACGTCCGGAAGGTGGGCGTGCTGGACTTGGAAAGAAAAAAAAATGCCAACTGAACTGGATTGTTTGATACAAAGACGTAATACATAGGTAATTCATCCTTAATATAGGCCCATGACTAATAGAACCTGAGAATTGTCCCCTAAGGGTGCGTTAAAAATCACCCCAAAAACGACATGAAAAATTCTCAGACCTGAAAGAGAAATATCACGCCCCAAAATTGATCTCTCACTTCTGCATATCCAAAATACATGGCGATTAGCTCCTGGCTTTAAAGTTGTTAGCTTACAGATATAGTGTCAGCGAAACATCAGTCTACACAGCTTCAGACTGTAAGGAAGCTGAATGTTAGAAAAATCAACAAATCAACAACAAAGAAGTACCTTTAGGGCAATTTATACATTTAGTACTCGGTGAACATGCATGATGACACAGGCTTCCTAGTTTCAGCAGGTCACTGACCTTGAGGATGAGTTAAAATCTTGTATACCTCCATTGTTTCACTAACATTAAATCTATCATCAGATAGCAAATTTTTGGAATCTTTTTCCATCAAAGGGCATACAATTTCCTTTCATAAAGGCAGCGAACGAAAGGCCCTTTAAGCAGCAATTGTGTAGCGACTTCCAAGTTCCATAATGCATGGGCTGATCATGTACTTGACTAACAACAGAGGGCGGCATATTCCATGGCGAGTTCGTTTGTAGAACCATGACAACGAATCTAAAGTCTACTCCTTGAAGACCCTCCGAAAATTATGGAGATTCTGCTCTTTTTGTCGTTGACAGTTCTCGAACATTGTTTCCACTAACAGGTGTTTGTTCAGATTGAGCCAGTCATGCCTGTGGCAGCCGGAATCGACGCTTCCACTGCGTTCGAGAGGCAGTTAAGAACCCTGTGTCTCAATGAGTTTCCGTGTGGACAGGGATCCTGGGTAGGGTAGTAATTCCCTTGTCATGCTTGCTGTAACGTTAGTGTAGTATTTGGTCCGGGTTGGACACCCATTTCATTACATCATAATTACATGATACATTACAGCTGCATGTTCACTGTTTGGAAGGTTAGCTGTGTATTTGGAGACCCCCATTTTCGTGTCATTTTAATCTTGTAAACATGGACAGATAAAATTGGTTAGTTTCCCCCCAAAACCTGGGGTGATACTCTCTACTTCATTATACTATAGCATTGACCCTGCTTTTCTAAGTTTCGGATTGTAAATTGTGAGAAAATGTGACTTTCTTACTGATAAACTAGCCATGCGAATTTGAATCCCCCATTCTCATGGTCGGATGTCCGGGAACTTCTGTACGAAAGTTATGGAATAGCACAAAGGATAAATTTGCCCCCTTGCCGTGTGTTAAAAGTGCATCTACCAAGTCATATCTACTAGTCTGCTTGGGCGAAAAAGTTTGCCAAACTTTTTTGTTAGTCATGTCCTAAATACGCTTCTGTATTTAGCAGACTGGCACAAGTGATCAAATTAGTGAGACATTGTGAGAAGGAGTTCCATAAACGAACATCACTTGAAACCCTGTGCATGAAACCCTGGGAAACTGGTCTGAAAATTCTATGTGTTTTTTAAGTAACTTTGTTGATATTTTCGCTGTTATTACTTTATGATGGCAGATAAACCACCTCAGGGGTAAATTTGTGATATCCATGTTTGGAACTCTTTCCACTCAAGGTTTTTTTCCTCCTTGGTGAAGCTAAGAAATAACCAATTTGACCATTATTCATCTTCTTTTCTTTGATCCAGAGAACATCAAATGACAAGAGCCTTCCTGCATCTAGGTTTCATGTCACCCTGAAAGGTAAACATGAGTTCAAAGATCCCAACCATGCCAACTCCAGAAAACATGCCAACACAAATCATGCCATCCGCGTCACTTTGAAGCTGACAAATTCTCCAACTAAATTTTCCTGAAGCGAGGACAAGGTCTAACAATAAGATTTCACAAACTGAGATTTAAGCTTGCTATATCTTTTCACTTCAGTAAATAGAAAAAAAGTAACCAAATACTTTTATTGTAACATCTGGCTGGTATTCCAAGTTCATGCACCACTTTTCCCTAGCTGCTAAGCATGTAAATATATGCCGATCAACGTTGTTCTTCAACCAGTTCTCTTAGAGCTTACTCATCTTTCACAAAGGTGATTATCATACGGTGCATAACATCCAACGTTTCCTTTCACCATGCAAAGTGTCAAGTCTCACTTTCGTTTTTCCCCCGTGATTTTCCCAGACTATGGATCCAGTAACGAACAAGAGGAGACTCTGGAGGAGTTGATATCTTCCCCCTTCTCCCCTTACAGCGTGGATTATAGCTGGAGCTCGGAGGCCAAGCAGCTCAGAGACTTAGCGGTCAAGAGTCCTTGGCTCATCAACAAGGAGTTCATCCTTGGCCACTTCAAGTCCCTTCGAATTGTTGACAAGAATGTGAGTAAAAAGCATGAACCGGACAAAGTTAAATTGGTTCTCATCTTGGACTCGACTTAATAGCCCACAGATCAATTGTACAATGCAAAATTCAGCACCCTCTTGCAAAGAAGGTTTCAGCCGGAGAAAGCAAAATGGAATCCAAGATTTAAATGCACACTTGGCCCAGTAAATGTGTTTTTAACTGGCCTGATTGTACTGCATACTTTGTTTGATTTCAATAAACCTCTTTGATAAATAGCTTTAATGTATTGGGTTCTGTTGGTGGATTTCCCTTTCTGAACATTTTGTATTTATTTTCCGAGTGGAAAATTTCATGCATTTAAAATAAATGAATTGAAATGATGGCAAAATATGATCTTGTTGATTCTTTTGAATAACTCGGGGTGGTTTGCCGAGAATACGTTTGACTTGGGTTCTGTTAGCACACCTGGCAAAGCAGCCTCTGTTTTTGTCAAGGACTTTTCACTTGTCATTTCTCATCTTGAGATCTGTCAGTCTTGGAAGTCCTTCTAACTTTCTATGTTCATTCTAACCAGTTATCTCCAATCTCATTTGCTTTGAGATTCATTCTCATTGCGAAGATAACAAACATCAGCCATCGTTCAGTATCGTGTGCATTATCATTGTGTTGCTGATTCCCAGTTATGATCTTGGGATTTTTCTTTCTTCTAGGTGAGTAAAGTTGACGACGGCCTACTGAGATTGAGTAACCTGGAGGAACTCACCCTCAGTGTTAACAAACTCAAGACAGTTGATACGTGCAATGTACCTAGCTCCCTAAAGGTAAGTCATCAAAGTGTAATCATCTATCAAAGAAAGACTTCATTAAGAAGCTTCTCATCTTAATGTGTCAGTCGGTTTGAAATCTTGAAGTACAGACACTTTCATTGACGAATGTGTTGGCTGCATTTAATATCCGTTTTGTACTGGCAACTTGCGACACATTTGGTTTTAGTTCAAGTGTTTGGTAATTACAGCAAATTAATGACATTGGCCAAGTTTAATCAGTGCCCATTTGTTGACAGCTGGTTGATTTTATCCTTCGTAACTGTTGCATAAAATATACCACGGGTACCGGGCAAAGGCAACCAATGGCTGACTTAGCCATGGCTTGTGGAAAGGGTAGTCACTCAAAGGCCTTAAGCAGTTTCCATGGTGAAAATTGATTAATGTAATTAATGTTATTAATGTTCCTTTTGGAACGTGTTTATTTACAGAGAAGTGGAGAAATATTATCCAACGTTAAATGTAAAGAAAAATGCCAAATATAGTAGTGCTGTATTGATGGCATATTCCATCGGGCAAGTTGTGAACCAATGTGTGAATTATTCATGGTGTTTTAAACAGGTCTTAGAACTTGTGGCCAATCATATCAGCGATCTGGAGCCACTATGCAACAAGCCGCCACCCACTTTACACCACCTGGGCCTGGGTCTGAACAGAATATCCGCCCTCCATGATTACATCACGGGAACCTACTGGTGAGCATCACGCAACAAACTTGAAGAACCCCACTCAGCAAATGGGGGGGCTGACTACCACTGACCTTCTACTGCGTCAAAGGGACAGGTCCTTAGCCTCATTTGTGAAGTTGAAGTGCACAAATAACGGCCCATTGACTTAGCGAATGTTAAAGGACATTTGCACATTGATAAAAAAACAATAGCCTGATTGCACCAGGGAAGTCACGTGACCTACCGGTATTGTGGGTATCAAACATCAAGAAACATGGCATCCTTTCATGGCAAAGTGTGTCCTAAGTGTTGTCACCAAAAAGAAAGCTGATTTTCCGTATAGTGCTCAGCACACCAGCAGTACTTTTCTAACCGTCGGCTTTGTTTTCAGTAAGTGACACTCATGACACACTTTGCTATGGAAGGATGCTATGTTTGTTAATGTTTGATACTCACTGTAGGCCATGTGACTTAGCTGGCGCAATCGGTCGATTACAGTGGTTTCTTATGGGACTGTTTACACTAATAGCGGAAAAACTTCATGATCGAGCAAGGAACTGTATTTAGAAATCTGAGGGATTTTTCAATGATGTACTGAGATTCTGATTTCCAGCCCATAAGCATTCTTGTTGGGTACAAGTCCTGAACTGATTGGCACGGTTGAACGCTTCAATGTCATACCCTCGGTTCTTCCCGTAGGACATTATTCTTACCGTGGAGAGTCATGAATTGATATTGTGGATGGATCTCTCTGTAAATGAACCCTCACTGTGGCCACACGGTGTTCCTTCCCTCCAGTAACTTTCTTCTCGTTAGAGCTTTGATAGCAACTCAGTTCATTTTTAGAATGTTAAAGAATTTGGTTGTACGTGTTCTTGGTTTTTTTGCAGGCCAAGTCTGCTATCGTTGGACCTGAGCCATAACGATCTCTGTGACTTGGTTGAGGTGGTGCAGACCCTGGCTACACTGCCCAAACTCAGGAATCTGGTTTTGGTCGGCAACCCTCTGGCAGTAAATATCATAAAGCTAAAAGCTTCACCTTTACAAGAAGGCAGTGAAAAATTAAGAGAATGGGAATTTACTTATTCCAGAGGATTTTATCATGACAGTTTTGGGGAAAATCTCATGACGTAAAGCTAGGTCAAACTTTAGTTAAATACGAAAGCTGAGAAAATTTGATGTCACAAAACATGCCATGAAATCTGCTCAGGTTGAAATCTGCTCAGCTTTGCAGAGTCCTAGTTCACATATTTCATCCAACATCACATTTTGTGTTCACTTTCATGTCAAGTGGGAACCATCCTTTGTACTGTGCTTAACTTTTGAAGAATCCCAGTTCAAACATTTGATCTGACGTCCCAGTTTTGTGTTCGTGTTAACTTTGTTGCCAACCGTGAACAAGCATTTGTGCTGTAATTCATAAGAAGGTGGGAAAATTTTCACAAACAATGCCGGTGTTTATTTTACTTTGTTTGGCAGTTGATACCGGGCTATCGCGGGTTCATCATCGACAGTCTCCGCAGCTTGTCCATCCTTGATGATCTTGGCATCTCAGCCGATGAAAAACATCACTTCAAAGGGCTAGCCAGGAAACTTGGTCAGTTCAGACCTTACACCAACCTTTTTTTTCTGATCTGATTACAGAATTTCACTTAAATGGAATACATTGCTCCACAAAAAAGTACTAGTGTACAACTACGGTCAACTCTCATTTTCACAAGATCGCTCAGACCAGGTAGATTGTCTTTTTATAATCGTAAAATGTCAAGAGATCAGGGCCCATATTCATAAAACCCTGCTAAGCCTAGTTGGCAACTAAATTGGCCCCTAACTGCCAACTAAGCCTAGTTGGATACTAAGTCTTATTCATAAAATGCTGCTGAGATTAATTGACTGCTAAGTTGTCTGCTAACTTTAGAGGTGGTCTTGGGTACCTCTAAGTCGCTAATTGACAACTAAATCTTTCATTTTTATGTTTGACTCTGCCAAGCATCGGCTTTCTTCCGGTTGGTGTTTGCATCTTTATGTTTACTGTCGTTGACATCTTTGTATTCATCATACTTTTCGGCTATGAATAAATTTAACAACTATTTAAATTTATTTAAATTAGAAGACCCTGAGCAATAGGTCACAAGGATGATCACATGATTGCCAGTCTGTGACCCTGTATTTCAATGATTTAGGCAGTGTTTACTCCAAAAGGGAGCATGTGGTGTCCAAATATCATCCTTTTAAGGAGGCCAGTCTATGAATATTCATGCCTTCATTACCATATGAGAATTTAAAAGTTTAATCCTCCCTTTGCCCTGTTTACAGAATTCATTTTGGATGAAGCAAAGGTGACAGTAAAGATTGGCATGGTAACTGGCGTACCAATGCCACCAGAGCTTCAGGTAAGATACACATTTTTGTCCAACAAAATGCATTTTTTATCTGTTAGACCCGATTCACAAGACCAGACACAAGACCAGACACAAGACCAGACTCAAGACCAGACACAAGACCAGACACAAGACCAGACAAAAGACCAGACACAAGACCAGACACAAGACCAGACAAAAGACCAGAC